CCACACCGACACCCACAGTCATACCATTTTTTGTTAAATTCAGCTTTTCTTCTTCCTATCTGTAATATTTGCATTATAATTTTGCAGCACGAACTGACTCTTTTAACGAACTTTCAATCTTCCCGTACAGCCCTCATGTTCATCTTACGTTGCCTCTTCCAATTTATCCTCGTGGACATCACCATCTGTGCAGTGATTTCGTCCAATCGCACTCTGCAACGACTACAACAGGTAATTTAATCACATTGTTTGAAGACGTAAACGTCGAGTAATTGTCGTTCGTTGATAAATTAGTCACCTGAACTAACCTCAAGAAACTCATCGTCAACGGCAATCGTTGATCCATCAATTCAGAACCAATACTACGGTATCGACAACGATGAAACTCCATCCGCTTCCGTCGACACGTTCATTCTCGCCATGTTTCCGTGGGCCAAAGGTTCTTATGTATTCAATGGTGCTGGCGAACACGAATGGCAGATTCCAGGTGATACAGATATAACATTTGTTGTCTATGGTACGTTGCAGATATTTCAGTCGTTGTGCATTTTCACATTTCCACAAACTTGAAAACTCTTATAGAAACTTTCCAAAGAAAGAGAACCCGCCACAAACCTTAGGAGCAGAGCAAAAATTCGGGAAAGCCTATTATAATCAGATGAAATACGAAAAATGAGGCTATGAGGAAAAATTCCAGGAAATGTAATCCATTCGACAAATCTACGAAGGATGCCAAGGAATCCCAAGGAGTAGAACAAAGTTTAGAAAGTCCAAAGATTCAGAGAATGATTTATAAAATTACAAAAATTTCCAAATTCGCTGTTTCTCGCTCAGTTGATTGAGAAAAAAAGCGAAACTGGCTAATTTGTTTCTCTGTACTGTTATGCAATTTGACAAAGTCAGTTCTGTAAAGTCCTTTTTCGGAAATCTTGGCATGCGTCACAACATTCTAATCTCTATCATATATTTAAATTCGTACAAGGATGGGGATATATAAGAAGATTTTCTGTTAAATTATGTCTTTTCCAACGCACAAATATGCAAGAATAGAGCAATATATGCAAATTTACAGATTGATGAGTAATAGTTTCCTCCACAACAGAAGACCATGGTATTTGATAATGTAATTTCACATCTTGTGTTCGAAGATGGTCTTCTACTTAGGCTCGATAAAAAAAACATTCTAAGCAGATTATCTGAGATTGTTCACTTTGCCAGACAACAGGTTTTGCTTATCTCTAATTTCTTACACATGAGAGCTATATCATAATTTTTCCACACGTCAATAAGTAGTAGAGCCCCAGATTTTTGCTATCTTGCTTCTCAAAACGTTGTGTATACGACTCTAGTATATTATTTACATCGTTTTCAATCCGTTTTTCACTGTTTACTATCGAATCAGTGGTGGTGTTAAAGTACATGAGTGTTGTTGGATCAAACGTGTACGCAGATAGACTACGAGATTGCACATGACTGTCGTCATTTCGCATACAACGTACCCATGCTGCTAGCAGAGCTATTGTATCTTCATCATCAGAGTCGAAATGTTGGATAATGCTTAATGGCAGGAATTGAGGCGAATAGTTTTCGTTTACTATCCACATTACTTCAATGACGTAACTGTCTGCGATGCCATTCAGATAAGCATTTAGATCGAAAACAGTCATTCTGTACGAAGTCTTATTTGCGGAGAAAGCCTAAATAAAAAATGCCAATGATTTGCTTTGTACAATTTCAGCTGGAGTTTTCTCCGATTTCGATAAAATTCGAAACGTTTTATTGTGGGTCACTAGCTAATCTTGAGATTTTAATGTGTCGAAAAGTAAAACAATCGCGATCGGTACATATTTTTACTATGCTAAAACAACTGATATGTTTTAAATCGACATGAAGACTAAATGGAGTTCTGTGTTACAAAATCTCCGAATACTTGGATTTTCTTCGAAAAATTTTTCCTTTTGAACTCCAGAGTTACCTCAACAACTCAGTTCTGTCGAAAAGCGACTTGTATTGCATGCTCACCTTTGCTTTTGTGATTTGAAAGTATTTGTGACATTTGGAAACTTTTTGCAAGCTCAAAATGATATTTCAGTAGAAGCAATGGATTTGATTTAAACCACGTGAAGGACAAGAGAGACACTTCTCGAAGAAAATCGAAATTCTGCGACATGTACAAATGCCTCCAGCTTTTGGTTCTAATTCCGTATGTGTCGTCAGTTTAAATGTGATAAAGACAAATTCGCTAGAAATCAGTCACATATCGTACAGAAAAAGCTATTTTTCTATTCGAACACGCAAAATGGATTTTTACTTGCTGCTATGGGCAACTTGTTTAGGATATACACCAAAGATATTTTTCTATGTCATCAGCATCTCTACTAGCGCGAAACGTCTGATGACTGGGGTTGAAATAGGTTCAATATCAGCTAGTGATTCTGAAAGATAGTACATCGCACGTATGAAAGATATTTCTCACTGTCTTCAAGTTTCCCAAAATATCCCATGTTCTGACCTCTTCACATCACCAGCGCCTTAACCTCCAAGTGTCCATAGGCTTGAACATTTGTAGATCGATTGCAAAAGTTTCAGCAAACACAGAATTTGAAAGCGTTAAAAACACTTTTTGCAACTATCTTCATGATTTATCGATCAGTAAAAAAAATATTTCATTTTCTCGCTTCGTCGTCAAAATAAAAACCTTAAAAAATCGATAATTCCGCAAAAAATGAATTTCAAAAAAGCAAATTCTTCGCTCCTTATAGGCAATAGAAATATCGGGGCCTGTTGTGCAATTTATATCAGCAGAAGTGTTGGCTTGTGATTTGACCGTGTTTCGAAATAGGTTAACAAATCAGAGGCAGTAGAGCACAAAATGGACCTAAGATCTATCATTGAGAGGGGACTCAAAGGAATAGCGAACGCCATGAATATATTTCCTGAAAACTTTACCATATAAGACGTTGAAATAATATTTAACATGGGTTTAGTGCCCCAATCATTATTTTATTACTTAAGTATGCTTTTATCAACGCTATCATAAAAGAGAAAAAAAGGAGAATATTTCAAGTCATTCAAAACCACTCCTTTACTTCTATAGTCGTTGGTATAACCAAGCTGCAGTAAAGTGTCTTGAATGTGAACTCCAACGGGAATATCTAAGAGTGTTCAATGTACAAAGATTTTCATTTGTTTTTGCAGAAACGATTTTCTGTGACTTTGAGCAGTTCAAGGAGCTCACATGCTTCTTTCTCATCTATTTACTTGTTTGGCATGACTTTGAAGAAAAGATCTGTTTTGTTTATATTGAAACATCATTCTTGCATTGATTGGAGTCGTGCTTCCATGCATCGACTAATGTGTCCTAATCTGATATGCCACAACAGTCAATGGATTGACGTGGTGGAATATTTTTTGAGTCAATCATTGTTTACCTTCGATTGACCCGAGCGAAGTCCTATTTCATTAGCTATTGGTCGAGCTCTTTCCTATAGAATAGAAGCTAAGATTGGAATGTTTTTGGCTCGTTGAGAAGAAAATCATGCGAATTTTGTTTCACCGATTTGAGGACGAGCGTCGATCATCAGTTGTTATTTGGTATCTATGTTTCAATTCATTTCATAGTTCGACAGTTACTCTTGCTTGCCTTTGAGGATATTTGAAATGGATTCGATCGAATAGTGACATTTCTCTCTCACAGTTTTTGACGAAAAGATCGTTTCTTGGATTGTTGTGTCAGATTGGTTGATTCCTCTCTGCCAAAATCGCATCATGAAAGAAAAGTTTTTGTCAACTATGTTTTGAATGTAACAAAACGTTTTGCACTCAATATATTTTTTCAACATCTTTTTCTTTCGTACATGTACACAGCGAAAAAGTTTCATAATAGTGACGTTATTGTAGTTGACGGAAATGAAAACAAATCACTCATAATTGAGTGTTGTTCATAGTGAGAGATTTTACTGTACACTGCACTGTACAAAGGACAGAGTGTTTGATCGATCGGTCTATATCATTGACATATTGGAGAGACTAGTACTCTAATTGTGTGGTAGTTTTTCTCACTTATAGAAACGTTATTGGGGTAAAAACTTAAGACACATCGCATTATTGCAAATCGTATAAATCTTGGAAACTTTAAAAATCTTCGAAATAAACGAAATTTTTCATCTTTTTCTATGTTTCCGAAGTTTATGAATCGGCAAAAATATAAGCCACATCTCATAAAGTTTGTTGATCTAGCAGAATTCTCTGGTTAATCTGAAGAAGATCGTCGTACGTCTCACTACGTGTCGTTTGAATGTTTTAGGCGAGAATTTGAATGGAACTGTTCTATCATTTACGAGTCATCCCCAGTCGTGTTTATTAGAACGAAAAGATCATTTGTACACATTGACAGTGAACGCTTCTGATCCCAAGCAATGCATGAGCGAACGCGCTTTCGTAACAATAAACCTGCCCTATTATAGTTCAATGCTATACGTTTGCCTTCAGCCACCTAGCGCGTCATATCCGTTTCTCCAAGGCGATCGGTAAGCTTTTTCTAATCTGTTTTGAGTTGTACTCGATTGGCTAAATCTAGGCCGGCTCTAAAATTGATTGTTACTCGACGTTCTTTGCCTATCTGGGCGACGATTATTTTGTTGATACTTCTTCTCTCTCTATCGGGTCTTTTCTCCGGTCTCAATCTGGGCCTTATGTCATTGACACCACACGATCTCGCCATCATTCAAGAAGCTGGAACGCCCAATGATAGAAAATATGCCAAGAGTATTTACCCAGTACGTAAACGCGGCAATTTCTTGCTCTGCACAATTCTCTTGGGCAATGTTCTGGTCAATTCGACAACAACAATTCTTCTCGATACATTGATAAGCGGTGTGTGGGCTGTGGTCGGTGCCACTTTTGCGATTGTCATTTTTGGTGAAATCATTCCGCAAGCCATTTGTTCACGGCATGGCCTTAAAGTTGGCTCTAAAACGATCATTTTCACCAAGATTTTCATGATCATTACATCTCCTATTGCTTTTCCTCTCAGCAAAGTTCTCGATTGTATTCTCGGTAAGAAAAAAAAGCTTAGCAGTATTTTTTTGCAAAGAAAAACGATCTCGACCTTCATTTTCAGGCGAAGAAGTCGGCGCTACTTATACACGCGATCAAATGAGCGTATTATTGAAACACACACAAACGACTGATATTGAAGAACGTGAGAAAAACATCATGACCGGTGTGTTGGGTTTAAAGACGAAGAAAATTAGTGATATAATGACCCACTTAATCGATGTCTTCATGCTCGAAGCCGATCGAGTTGTTGATGATGAACTCGTTCTGACTGTGCACGGCTATGGATATTCGCGTATACCGGTTTATGAAAAACAGCGGTGAGAAATCGATCGAATGTTTTAGTCGAATATCGTATATCAATTGTTTTTCTCATCTAGTGATAATATTATTGGGCTGGTGAATATTCGTGATTTTGCTCTACTTGATACAGAATCGGGAAAATTTACTGTGAGAAGTGTGATGAATTTTTACAAGCATCGTTATGGAAAAGTGATTATGTCCGATGATTCGTGTTATGACGTTTTTAATCAACTTAAGAAAGGTAACGAGCAAAGATCGTTGCATTTTCATCGCCACGAAATATTTTAGAACAATATCATTTGGGTATTGTGGCTGAGCATGACAGTAGTAGTAAGAAAGATCCAAAGCCAAGAGCAATAGGTATCGTTACATTGGAAGATATCATCGAAGAAATGATTCAAGAAGAAATCATCGATGAAACTGATGTATTTAGTAAGTCAAACGAGTTTGCCAGAGATCATCCATCAGATAAAATTCGGGTCTATTTAGCTGACAATCGTGGTAAAGTGCGAAATATATTATCGCAAGCACCCGACTTTTCGGCATTCATCGGTCAATCGGAAACATCTGATGACACGACGAAAATATCAGCTCAATTGAAAGTTGCCATTTTACAATTTCTTTCAACAAGTATGTGAATCGACATGCGCACAGCGTTGCTACGAAAGATGGAAGTTTTTCGCTCTTCTTCAGTGATAATTCTTTTGCCTAAAGAAGCAGACATCGAGTACAATTCGTTGCTGAAAACTTAGATTGATCAGACGGATTCTTGTTGGCCATATCATGTTAAATAAGCCATTTTTTCAATTTAGACTTAACCTGAAAGTTTGATTCTCATACAAAAATGCAGAAAATTTATTGATATGTTCTTTTCTAAATACGAATTTACCGTTTGTCTGTAGCTTCTAATGTAAAATATACATCTCTGTAAGGGCTAACTTAATTTGCCTAAATTAATAACAAACTTGAAATTGTTGCTCGACAATGTGAACGAAATGCAGATAAGACATTCTCTAGAGCAAGGGTGACTTAATGAAACATGGTTCTCGTTTTCAGTTGAATAAGTTGCAAGGAAAATACAACATCGACCAAAATAAAATTCTGTACAAACTTTGCTTTCAGCCTTTTTAACTCAAACACATTTTGTATAAAAACCTTTGTAAAACTGATTTGTTGTGCTCCACCGTTCAGACAGGACAATTGAACTAAAAAAATCTTGAAAAGCACAAGTTACACTGAAAATCCTACAAGCCGAATTCCTAAAAACCCATTGTCAATAATGAATTAATCTCGAATGATTATCTTGCTTGTCTATTATAGCTGTCGAACCGTTTACCTCACGGTTCATCTCGTCTCATATCCTCGTTCGTTTATTAAATGTCCAGTTCTACCAGGAATTTGAATACGATAAAGACAGAGCTGAAGATGGCAAAGAAACCTACATTTACGAGTATGGGAAATCGGCCGATTATTTCGTGCTCATTCTTAATGGACAAGCAGAATTGATAACCGGTCAAGAGAAAATTGTGAGCGAAGTCGGCCCATTCTCTTACTTCGGTGTGAGCGCACTTTGTGTAAGTGACCATGATCATTTTAGTTTGAATCGAATTGTAACGTTTTTCGTTTCATTTTATAAAGAGTTCCGATAGCAAAGTAGAAGATATTGTACGTTCGAAAGATCTCAAATTTCGGCCATTTGTACCGGATTTCAGCTTGCGAGTTTCCGAGGATGTGCAAATTTTACGCATTCGTCGAATAAATTGGTTAGCAGCTGTTCGTGCCACTTTCTTTGAAAATCAACAAAAATCAAACGGTGGCCCACCAATGCTCAAACCTGATGGCGAACAGATTGATTTTTTGACACAAGAATTGGAAAAAGCCAATGGTGTCGATCAACCAGAGACACATACCACAACTTCAAGTGAAACAAACGATGAAATACGTAGTCGAGCAATGACTATGATGCCAATAATGGATTCGGGACATGTCAGAACGGGGCACGAACGTTTTTTTAGTCGACGGCGTTCAAAATCTATTTCACATAATCTGTATAACACCTCGTCGAAAAGTTCGACGACTTCGATTCGAGATACGCCAAGTTTAACCGACAAACAACGCCATTATTTATCTCGTACTGATCAGACTTAACCACCGTCATCATTAACTCGCAGACGTTTATCTTCAGAGAAAAGTTATCTACCTGATTAACAAACAGTATTTTTTCGTGTGTACATAGAATAGTACAGTGTTGCCGCCTCTTGACGTTAGAAAAGCAGAAAATGATAGAACTTTTATTGTCGAAAAGCAGAAAAAAAGAAGAAAGTATGTTTTTGATACTAAACAATCTTTTAAGCTTTGACTTAATGAAGTAATCAGAAAATTTCACAGCAATTCCCTATCTTGATTGTACAAAATGAAGAAAAAATCTTTCTAAAAACCCATCAAAAAGTTTTGCAACTCTCAACAAAAGTTTTTCAATATTTTACGCTTGAATCAGCTGTGAAAGTGAGCATATAGTTGGCATTATTATTAAGCAAGCTTTCACTTCCTATTGAACAAATGAATCATTACGATTTGATACCAACAAAATAGTATAAAACATATCATATTTAGCGGCAAGAAGTTCTGGGACGAATTATTTTCTATTCACTCACTTCCTTTTCTTCGATTGTAAATAGTATTAGTGGAAAGAACTTGAAAAACTGACTATTGTTGATATGTTTTTGTGTTGGAGGTTATATTAGTTAGATAATTTTCGTAGCGAGATTTTCCGCCGCAAAAATGCTAAAAAAATATCGTGAAAGAGGAGGAATCATGCCTTACTTTTGCTCGTTTTGAAGAGAAGAATAAATTCGACAAAACAACATATATTTTGACTTTCTCACATATAAAGAAAATTCAGTGGACGATAGCAAAAACAGTCTATGTTATTGCCTTTTTTTACGTAAAAATAGCTAAACTATTACAAAATATTAGATTTCTATACTGTCCCTGTCTGTGATACGTTGTTCAATATATTTGAGAGTCGAAAATGTGTTGTTTCGTGGAATTTATTTTGCTTTTCAAAACGAGCTAAACAAGCCATGGTTTCTCCTCTTTTATGGTAGTCTTTTTAACAGTTTCCTTTAGGCAACTAGCATTTCTACAATGAAAAACCTTGTTGTGAAAAAATATTTGACTAATATGATCTTCAAAACGGAAATATATCTAGGACAGTCAATTTTTCAAGATGTTCCCATTAATATTATTTGTACCCAAAGAAAGGTTAATGAGTTAAGAGAATGATATTTCTCTCAGAACTTTTTTTGCCATTGAATGCTTTATGTTTGACACTATTTTACTAGCATTAAATGGCAATGATTCGTTTCTTTGATAGAAGATGAACACTTACTGAAGAATGATACCAAATATTTTCATATATTCACAGTCAACGCAAGCCCAGTGAGAAATAAGAATTATGCTTATCACAGAATAAGGATGAGACAAATAACGCTGCCGAATATTAATTAGAATTTCCCTTCACATTTAAAAAAATGTTGTAGTATAATAAAACAAACTTTGGGTTAAAAATATATTAAATAAGTTATCTGAAAAAGCAGAAAGGACAAAGAAAAGCAGAATTTTTCTGCTAAAAGTAGAAGAGGTGGCAACCCTGTTGATTAGTCAAATAGTCGCTCTCCTGGCTTCTTCTCGTGCTGCTACAACTAAACAATTCTGTAGAATAACATTAGGTGCATGTGTTATAAACTAGATTTCTTAATTGATTATATTTGTTAAATTATTCTTATTCTGTAGAAAACCCAAATGATTGAGCACATAAGAGTTTTGCTTATCGTACGTCTCAGTAGAGTCTACGCCAACCCCATCCACCGATGGCATTGAATGCTCTCGGATTGACTCAATTGTTTTCGGTGGTACATCAAGAACAAGGTATTCAATATCTTTAATCGAAAAGGAATTGCAAAGACTTTGGAAATTGTCACTTTACTTAAGTACGCCTGGAATATAGAGGACTTTAGTTTTATGGGTAAAACTGATTCCACAATTGCCTAGGTTGCTTCGAGAATTTTTCTTCTACTCTTACGACTTTACTGACGATCGACTATATTCATTTGGAAACTTTTCTGTTTTCATTGAGCTATTTCTAGATTTAAGTTTACAGTTTGATGTCACACTAGAAATATTGATGAAAGCATATGTGAAACTATTCAGATTAATTTTGGAAGCAATTTGCCGAACAGGTAGGATTGATTCAACAAAATAAAGTAATATGCATATATCGGAGGTCTCGTGATATGGCGACACGAGAGAAATCAAGAACAAATGTTAACTGGTCATTCTGCTACTCTTTACCTGATGATTCGTGCTAATCCCAAGAATTGATAGAAAACTATTGACTATGCGATGAAATAGTCTAGAACACTAAATACAAGAACGTCCTCTGACAGTTCGAAATTCGAATCCCTTCTTATTCTTTTTAACCGAAACTTTTGAGCAACCCAGGTCGACCAATCTGATAATAGGATCCGATAGGTTCCGTCTCGGATCCTATCGGCATCCTATCGGATTCCTACCAAATTCGGCCGAATCCTATCGGATTTTCCCGGAAAACCGGTTACGGAAATGTGACGGAATCCCCGGTATCGGCAATCCTATCGGATCCTACTGTCGACATCCGATCGGCAGCTATCGGAACGGAAGCCGATCGGAAACCACTTTCGGCAGCCAACACTAACGTTACTAACGGAAGCCGAATCGCTCCAACTGTTCATAATCCATCAAATGCCATATTTAAAACCAAAAAAACATCTCAACGCACAATAAATAATGCACACAAATTCGAAATACTAATATACACATACACAAAACCATTACGAACCGCCTGCGAAGCCTAACTCAAACAATACTATTCACCAATCTATCCTCATAAAATTACCAGACGTCCATAATAGCATCTCTGCTAAAGCCAGCCAAAAAAAGCTAAACATTCGCCCCTAACGACACATTCTCATGAATTAAAAAACTACATGCGTTTTACACTAAACATCGCCTTTCAAAAACATACTCAAACTAGCCTACCAATCGATGAAAGCAAAAACAGACACTAAATTGCATACATCCCTTCCTCAACAAAGAGTTCCACACCCATATTCCACACATTCAATACAATCTTACACGATACAACATTCTAACCATAATATTATCGAACAGAGCTCTATACGCACACATCTCTAGCCCTTTCCAGGAATCAGTTTCAAAAATCTATCACATTCGACACGAAAGACAATTATATCAACGCTAAACAAGAAAATACACATGTAGGTATGCCCATTTGCTCAATTCCGGAACACAGTTTTCAAAATTCGATCGGATCCGATAGGATATAAAATTGTATCAATGCTAAGCTAGGATGTGAGATACAACTATGCATTTTTCGCCATTCTCCGAACTGAATTTTCAAAATCCCATCGGATCCGATAGGATAGAAAATTATATCAATGCTAAGCCACAATGTGTGATATAAATATGTCTTATTCGCCATTTTCAGAACTCAATTTTCAAAATCCCATCGGATCCGATAAGATAAAAACTTATATCAACGATGGCCTTCAATCGCGACATAGTGGTATGTATTTTTGACTATTTCCAGAATTCAATTTTCAAAATCTCATTGGATCTGATCGGACAAAAATTTATATCAACAATGAGCTCCAAGCGAGATATGTAGAGACACACTTTTGACAATTTCTAGAACTCAATTTTCAAAATCCGATCGGATCCTATAGGATAGAAAGTTATATCAATGATAAGTTTCAATGCAGATATGTAGGTATGAATTTTGGGCCATTTCCAGAAGTGAATTTTTAAAATCCGATCCAATTCTATAGGATAGAAACTTATATCAATGGTAAGCTCTAATGGAGATATATAAGTATGCCATTTTCGGCATTTTCAGCTCTTAATTTTCAAAATCCGATCGGATCCTATAGGATAGAAACTTATATCAATGCTAACCTTGAATAGAAGTATGTAGGTGTGCCTTTTTGGCCTTTTCCAGAAGTCAATTTTCAGAATCCGATCGGATCCTATAGGATAGAAACTTATATCAAGGCTAACCTTGAAGAGAAGTATGTAGGTATGGCTTTTGGACCATTTCCAGAATTCACTTTTCAAAATCCGGTCGGATCCTACAGGATAGAAACTAATATGAATGGTAAGCTGAAATACAGATATATAGGTATGCCTTTTTGGCTTTTCCAGAAGTCAATTTTCAGAGTCCGGTCGGATCCTATAGGATAGAAGCTTACATTAATGCTAAGCTTCAATTGAAATATATAGGTACGCCTTTTTGGCCATTTCCAAAACTGAATTTTCAAAATCCGATCGGATCCTATAAGATACATACTTATATGAATGCTTAGCTTTAATAGTTATATGTAGGTATGCCTTTTGACCACTTCCAGATTTAATTTTCAAAATCCGAGCGGATCCTATAGGACACAAGCTTATACGAATGGTAAGCTCTAATGGAAATATATGGGTATGCCTTTTTCATCACTTCCAGGATTCAATTTTCAAAATCCGATCGGATCCTATAGGATACATACTTACATCAATGCTTAGCTTTAATAGTTATATTAGGTATGCCTTTTGACCACTTCGAGAACTTAATTTTCAAAATCCTATCGGATCCTATAGGATAGAAGCTTATATCAATGGTAAGCTCCAATAGAGATATGTGGATATGCCTTTTTCATCACTTCCAGGACTCAATTTTCAAAATCCGATAGCATCCTACAGGATAGATAGTTATATCAATGCTTGGTTCCAATCGAGATATGTAGGTATACATTTTTGGCCAGTTCCAGAAGTCAATTTTCAAAATCCCATCGGATCCGATAGGATAGAAACTTAGATCAATGCTAAGATTGAATACAGATATGTAGGTATACCTTTTCGGCCATTTGCAGAACTCAGTTTTCAGAATCCAATCGGATCCTGTAGGATAGATACTTATATCGATGCTTAGCTTTAATAGTTATATGTAGGTATGGCTTTTTGATCACTTCGAGAACTTAATTTTCAAAATCTGATCGGATCCTATAGGGTAGAAACTTATATTAATGCTACGCTCTAATGGAGATATATAAGTATGCCTTTTTAGCGATTTCCAGAACTCAATTTTCAAAATCCGATAGGATCCTATAGGATAGAAAGTTATATCAATGGTAAATTCCAATGGTGATATATAAGTTTGGATTTTTCGGCATTTCGAAAACTCAATTTTCAAAATCCGATCGGATCCTATAGGATAGAAACTTATATGAATGCTAACCTTGAAGAGAAGTATGTAGGTATGGCTTTTGGGCCATTTCAGAACTCAGTTCTCAGTGTCCGATCGGATCCTATAGGATAGAAACTTACATTAATGCTAAGCTTCAATTGAAATATATAGGTACGCCTTTTTGGGCATTTTCAAAATCCGATGAGATCCTATAGGGTAGAAACCTATATCAACGATAAAGTCCAATGGTGATATGGAAGTTTGGATTTTTCGGCATTTCGAAAACTCAATTTTCAAAATCCGAGTGGATCCTATAGGATAGAAACTTATATGAATGGCAAGCTGGAATACAGATAGATAGGTATGCCTTTTTAGCTAGTTCCAGAACTGAATTTTCAAAATCCGATCGGATCCTATAGGAGAGAAGCTTACATTAATGCTAAGCTTCAATTGAAATATATAGGTACGCCTTTTTGTCCAGTTCCAGAACTGAATTTTCAAAATCCGGTCGGATCCTATAGGATACATACTTATATGAATGCTTAGCTTTAATAGTTATATGTAGGTATGCCTTTTGACCGCTTTCGGATTTAATTTTCAAAATCCGATGGGATACTATAGGATACAAGCTTATATGAATGGTAAGCTCCAATGGAAATATATGGGTATGCCTTTTTCATCACTTCCAGGATTCAATTTACAAAATCCGATCGGATCCTATAGGATACATACTTACATCAATGCTTAGCTTTAACAGTTATATTAGGTATGCCTTTTGACCACTTCCAGACTTAATTTTCAAAATCCTATCGGATCCTATAGGATAGAAGCTTATATCAATGGTAAGCTCCAATGGAGATATGTGGATATACCTTTTTCATCACTTCCAGGACTCAATTTTCAAAATCCGATAGGATCCTACAGGATAGATACTTGTATGAATGCTTAGCTTTAATAGTTATATGTAGGTATGGCTTTTTGATCACTTCGAGAACTTAATTTTCAAAATCTGATCGGATCCTATAGGGTATAAACTTATATTAATGCTAAGCTCCAATTGAAATATATAGGTACGCCTTTTTGGCCATTTCCAGATCTGAATTTTCAAAGTCCGATCGGATCCTATAGGGTAGAAACCTATTTCAAAGATAAAGTCCAATGGTGATATGGAAGTTTGGATTTTTCGGCATTTCGAAAACTCAATTTTCAAAATCCGATCGGATTCTATAGGATAGAAGCTTATAGCAGTGCTAAGCTCGAATGGAGATACGTAGATGTACATTTTTGCCATTTCCAGAACTCAGTTTTCAAAATCCCCATCGGATCCAAATGGTAGAAACTTATATTAATGATAAGCTCCAAGCGAGATATGAAGGTAGGCATATTTGCTCATTTCCAGAACTGAATTTTCAAAATCCGATGTGATCCAATAGGATAGTAACTTATATCAGTGCTAAGCTCGAATGGAGATATCTAGGTATACATTTGTTGCCATTTCGAGAAATGAAATAATTTAACTGAATTCAATATCATATTCAGACTTTTTTAAACAGTTTCGAAACTAAAACTTTTCTGTTTTATGAATTTATGAATATACTGAAAAGATTCTACGTTTGAAACGATTTTTGTCACAACGGATAACGACATGTTGTTTTAGTGTATATTTTGGTCAATTGGGCAGAAACATAGAATCGAACTTACTACTTCTGTACTTCAGCACTTCTTTTAGTTCGTACTTCATAGAAACCTGTGTGCTCATGTTGAAAACAGACAGTTTGTTGTTATCAGGTCAACAAGCTTTCTCGCGGATAGCCGCATTTTATAAGTTCCTTGATCAAGGCATTATATACTAGAAAAAATAGCTATTCTGCTGCACCTTAATCCAAAACCTATATTAAACACACTACGTTTCAGTGGCTATAAATCATGAAACTTTCCGGCTCACATAAGGTAAAATTTAGATTCCAAACATTATCATAATAAATAAAATGGACCACAGATTCAAAGATTGATGGAATCCTATAGAAATCCGATCGGTATCCGACCGTCGGAATAAATGGGG